ACTCCAATTGTTATATTTATCTCCATGTAAGCAAATTATTACTTGGCTCGATGCTGGCTCATAAGACAAAGAATGACATAAACATAGAAAGTGACACAACACTAAACACCAACATTTTRGTAAATGTGACCGCAAAGATGTGCAACACTAAGCAAAATAAAGAAAAATTGTATGACCCATGCCTGCTGTCATTAAGAACACAAATAATGCAGTAGTCAAGTAATAAACAAAAATGTCATACATCTACATAATAAACAAAAATGAAACTACATCTTTAAACATCCATGACAGTTTTTGCTTTTGAACTGAGTCCATCAATCATCTCTTTGTTAACTTCCGGTAAATAACAAAATAATATTTATAAATTCTAGGTTTAATTTGGCCCAAAGTAGAAACAATAATAAAATAAAAAATATTTTGGAGTATGAAGAGTACTTCTGAAATATCTGTGAACCCTGTCCTGATACATGTCTGGTTTCTCAACAACATGTGATCCGGTCATGTGATTTGACCTCCATCTTTCTGTGGTTAATTCTCTGAGACTCCGTTACAAATTATGTCAAAAGTAGAGACTTCAAACTATACACCAGTTTTTAAAGACTGTTCCCCTTCAAGAATAATAGTCGTAATTTCTCCTTTACCTGAGGAAAGTCTGCATTATGATCACTGCTGTCTCCTCCCTGACCTTGTTCTTTGTAACTGTGGCAATGAAGATTTACTTTGAATATGTGGAAAGCAGCCAGCACAACTTCTGCACAGAAATGAAAGACGGCTGGGTTTATCTAGCATTAACTAACTATCAAGGGATGTAACAGGTAACAACAACTAATCATGTTAACTAGCTAAACATTATATAATGTGTAACTCATCATTTAGCTAACATTATCTGCCTCCAACAGCATGACTCAACTTACACGGTTTGTTTGGTAAAAACTGTGTGAAGTTTTAGTTGCTCTTTACACCGGGAGGCTCTGCTCAGAAGGCGGGTGGTTAGAAGAACGTCTCCTACCCGTCATCTGCAGCAGTAGCTTGCGCACGCTTATGGTGCGTTCAAAGACGGCTAAGGAAAACACATTACCATATGTTAAAAATGGATAAAACAGCTGTAACGGCTGAGAAAAGTGTGGGGGACATAGAGCACAGATGCAGGAAGTGCGGGGACTCAGGGAGACATGTCTCACGCATATCCCGCATCCATTATGTCCGTGCCTTCACTGCCCTGGGCCCTTTAGAGACCGTGGGCCCCTGGGCAATTGCCCAATTGCCCATATGGTTAATCCGGCCTTGGGGATCAGCAAATGATTTTGAAGGAGTTGCAATCCAAGAGACAAGAATTACTGGAGAAAATAGATGAAAAGGCTACAGAAACTCAAGTGGAGCTCAATGTCATTGAGAAACTTAATAAACGACTGGAAAAAGTTGAGTCACACGTCTGAGTTGGAAAATGGAGTCACGTCTAACTCTGACATGATTACAACCATGGAGTCCGATCTGAGCTGTATGAAGAAAGAATGCTAAAAGCCCGGTGTGAAGATTTAGAGTCCAGATCACGTCGATGAAACGTCCGCATCATGGGGGTAAAGGAGGGACGAGATTATGGAAAACTTCCATCCGAATATGTGGCTGAAATGCTGAAAGACGCGCTCGGACTGGACAAGTTGCCGACTCTGGACAGAGCACACCGGACTCTCCATGCCAAGCCAACACAAGAGTACCAGCCGCCAAGAGCTTTTGTGGTGAAATGTCACTACTTCATGGAAAAGGAGCTACTTCTTAGAAAAGCAGCTGAAGCTGGGGTGATAACAACCGCCGATGGTGACTGTATTCGCGGTCCTGCTGGACTTCACCCAAGCAGTGAGTAAACAACGAGCTGCTTTCACCGAGGTGAGGAATCTGCTTCGCAGCTGCAGTGGAGTCCGTTATGGATTGAGGTACCCAGCGACACTGAGGATTACTATGGCAYATGGAAAAGAAACAACGTTCAAAGATCCCAAACTTGCTAAGGYGTTTGTTTTGATTTGAAGGATCCAATGAGCGGTTAAATCGGGTCCATGTTCAAGACTTTCCATCTTAGTTTGAAGCACTGAGGAGTGAATGGTGKTTGGTAAGATAATAATGGATATCAGTATTAATCCAGTTACCTTCAGGTAATGCACACATGTTATTATTAAGCCTTAAGTTTACTCTTACTGAAATGAGTCACAGACAATTCTTAGTTTGAAGTTCCCCCTCCTTTGATATTTTTATTTCCCACACAACTTTAAAAATATATCTGTGATTTGTGTTGACATATTGCAGTTATCTCAGCGGGATATTTCAGGGTTATACTTCATTTCAGTCTATATATTGGTTTTTGAGTGGACTACCATGGTAAGCATTTAAACAGTTCTAGTGAGGAGATGGACTGGGAGAACTAGAAGGAGAAAAGTCTCTTTTTGAGACTAGGTTTGTTCTGTTTATTTATTATTATTATGGTTATTGGTGCATTAATCATTGTTGTTTTTATGTTTATCTTCCCACCCCCACCCACATCCCCATGGGCTACACTTTTCACATTTTCACATTTTGGTAATGACTTCAATTTATAAGGCACTAACCAGCACCACTTTGGTGAGCTGGAATGTCCGAAGACTAATCCATCCAATCCATCCACTCAAACGCAATAAGATATTCTCTCACCTTAAGTTGAAAAGTTAAACTGATTATTTACAGGGAACCAAATTGCTGAATAAAGATCATTCTAGACCAGTGATTCCCAAACTT